CCCAACCCCCGGACCAAAACACAGGCGCGAATCGCGGAACCGCCCCCTCCCCCCCCCCCCCCCCCCCCCCCCCCGCGGGAGTTGGTCAGAGTTGATGGTGGTAGTGATGGCTGTGGACTTGCAGCGGCAGCAGCAGAAGACACTAGCTGGGATGATGGCCTTGAGATGGGGATGGGATGCTGCAAGGCTGGCACAATCGAGCTAGATGTGGCGCGGATGGCAGCCTGTCTATAAAGATTACTTGATAATCCAACTTCAAACCTATATATTAAGGTAACCACAATAGTGATGACTAAGCGGTTTGCTGATTAAGCATCAAATACGACTTATTTATAAGCCTACAAAGTAGCTAAGTCACGTGATAGCTTCTTACCTTATAATTGGTATTTGAAGTCCAAAGGACTTTCCTGCCAAAGACAACCCTAGGGACAGGGTAGCCCTGCAAGTCTAGGGTAGCCCTGCAAGTCCAGGGTAGCCCTGCAAGTCCAGGGTAGCCTTGCAGGTACAGGGTAGGTGCAGAAAATCAAACCACCTAAAACCATCAAACCCTGTCAAACCACTTGATACGTATCACCACCTTGTAAGTGTGTGATCTACGTATTACTACTGATTCAAACAATCGGATCCTACGGACCCGGTCTGATCAGCCGATCCGAGGTATCAAGTTGTTTGATCTAGTAGATCAAGTAAAGCAAGAAGACTGAATTTTTACTATATAGTCAGTTAGATTAGCCGGCTGACTTTGGTGAAATCATCATCAACCACACAATACAACTAGTCTTCTGCACCTTACTTGCCTACCTTACTTCCTGCCTTTCTACTGCTTATAGCAGTACTTTCACTAGTTGAATACTTTGCTTCCACAACCTACCTCTTTGGTCACAACCTAACCTTTTGACTACAACTGCAATTAAAACTGCAACAAAGACTATACTTAGCTTTGCAACCAACCTTGCAATAGTAACATCTAAGACAAAAACTACAGCTGTAATTAGCATAATCTGCATAGCAACTGCAATAATTAAGATACTTACAAATGCTTTGACTAGCATAACAAAGCTAACCTAGCCTAAAAGCGTTTTAATAACAAGTTAGTAGCTTTTTTCCAATTAGACTAGTTTTAGCAATTTGTCAACTCTTGCAGCAACTTTAGCTATATTGCCATAGCTTGGGTTAAAGAATGCCAAACCTATAGCATTTGCAAGACTATTTTTAATAGCTGCAACAACTTTTTCTAGCATTTGCAAACAAGCTGTTAACTAGTTTAGCTAGCTGCACTTGCCAATCTATCTAAGCTAGCAGTTAAAACCAACTTAACAGCATATCTTAAGGATATAATCATAGCTACTAGCCTAGCTAAGCTATTAATTGACTTTTTTAAAAAATATACTTACCTATAGCTGCAAATAGCATTGTTTAAAAAAGCTGCCTAAGCTAGTAATATAGTTGGTATTTGCACTAATATTAAATGCAGTAACCTATTAGTTGACAAGAAATAAGCCTAAAGCCTTTCTAATTTAAAAGTCAAAAACTGCAAAGATGCTATAGATAGTATTAGCAAGTCTATCAAGCTAACATAATAGGCTACCTTTTCCTTTTACACTTTTGGTATAATTTGCAACAGCAACCTTAAAATTGCCAAATTCACTACTTAGGCATAGCTTTGCCAAAACCTAAAGCTTTAAGCCTTGTTAAAGGTAGGCTTTCTAAAGCCTTACAGCGCTAACATGCTGTTTACTAAAGACAAGCTTTAATTTGCTTTTTATAATAGCTTTAGCATACCTATTGCAGTAATTAAAAAAAAGCAACCTAGTTACTTAAAAGGTAACTAATTAACAAGCAGTTGTAATTTAACCTAGTCAGACTGCCTAGATAGCTGTCAACTAAAAGCCCTTGCCTAGCAACTAGTTTTACACCTTTAACACAACCTACCTAGCTACAGTCAACATGCTAGTTAACTTAAAAACCTGCAAGCATATGCCTCTAGTCAATCCAACCAACACACTACTAAAGATTTCAAAAAACGCCTAAATCAAAAGGATTGCAAAGACTAAAGACTTAGCCTTCCTAGCTATTCCATTATTAAGTTCTAGTCTCCAAGCACTTGCTATAGCTACCACCTTAGCTACAACTACTACAGCCTTAAATGTAAAACCAACTAGCCTAACTAATCAGTCTGTCAATTCCTTAGCATATACTACCACACTTAAACTACCAGCCTTGCTTTTAATCCAAACCTTTAGCCTAACCGCAACTCCTTTTAACATAATCAGCGCAAAGTTTAACCTAACTAACACTACTAAAGCAGTCACCTTAAGCTTGCCAAAACTGCCACACCTATAGCTTGCTAAGGTTGCGCAAAAAAGCAATAAGGCTTTGCTAGCTTTTTCCAACGCAGTATTTGCAATTATACAAAACCTAGCTATACTAGCAGCTTTACCAAAAAGCTTAGCCTAAGAGAACGCAGCTTTAAAAAGTCTACTAGTGAAAAAGCTAATCGTTACCTTAACCTCTAGCTTACTAAGAATCAAAACCCTAACCAACCTACCTAAGCAAGTTACTAAAAAAGGCATATATATATATATACTACTAACAAACAACTAGCTTACAAATTAGCCTAGCTAGTCAAGCGTTTCTAACAAATTTAGACTAACAATAGTCTAATCAAAGTCTCTAACAACCAACTCCTTAAAATCCTACTAGTCAACAGCTAGCAAAACAAAAAGATTGCTTCTAGGCTATACCCTTTTATAAAGATTACTTGATAATCTAACTTCAAACCTATATATTAAGGCAACCACAATAGTGATGACTAAGTAGTCTGCTAATTAAGCATCACATATGACTTATTTATAAGCCTACAAAGTAGCTAAGTCACGTGATTCATCCTTACCTTATAATTGGCATTTGAAGTCCAAAGGACTTTCCTGCCAAAGGCAACCCTAACCTTAAGGACAGGGTAGCCCTGCAAGTCCAGGGTAGCCCTGCAAGTCTAGGGTAGCCCGGCAAGTCCAGGGTAGCCTTGCAAGTACAGGGTAGGTGCAGAAAATCAAACCACCTAAAACCATCAAACCCTGTCAAACCACTTGATACGCATCACCACCTTGTAAGTGTGTGATCTACGTATTACTACTGATTCAAACAATCAGATCCTACAGACCCGGTCTGATCAGCCGATCCGAGGTATCAAGTTGTTTGATCTAGTAGATCAAGTAAAGCAAGAAGACTGAATTTCTACTATATAGTCAGCTAGAATAGCTGCTTGACTTTGGTGAAAGAATAATCATCAACTACACAATACAACTAGTCTTTTGCACCTTACTTGCCTACCTTACTTCCTGCTTTTCTACTGCTGTATTTTTACTAGTTGAATACTTTGCTTCCATAACCTACCTATAAAGATTACTTGATAAGTCTAACTTCAAACCCATATATTAAGGTAACCACAATAGTGATGACTAAGCGGTTTGCTGATTAAGCATCACATATGACTTATTTATAAGCCTACAAAGTAGCTAAGTCACATGATTAATCCTTACCTTATAATTGGCATTTAAAGTCCAAAGGACTTTCCTGCCAAAGGCAACCCTAACCTTAAGGACAGGGTAGCCCTGCAAGTCCAGGGTAGCCCGGCAAGTCCAGGGTAGCCCGGCAAGTCTAGGGTAGCCTTGCAAGTACAGGGTAGGTGCAGAAAATCAAACCACCTAAAACTATCAAACCCTGTCAAATCACTTGATACATATCACCACCTTATAAGTGTGTAATCTACATATTACTACTGATTCAAACAATCGGATCCTACAGACCCGGTCTGATCAGCCGATCCGAGGTATCAAGTTGTTTGATCTAGTAGATCAAGTAAAACAAGAAGACTGAATTTTACTATATAGTCAGTTAGATTAGCTAGCTGACTTTGAAGTAACATCTTCATCATCAACCACACAATACAACCAGTCTTTTGCACCTTACTTGCCTACCTTACTTCCTGCCTTTCTACTGCTTATAGCAGTACTTTCACTAGTTGAATACTTTGCTTCCACAACCTACCTTTTTGGTCACAACCTAACCTTTTGACTATCGCTTTTGGTGGTCTTGCTATCATCGCCTCCATCTTCGTCCAGGACGTGTCTCATCTCCTTACCAACAACATCAACAAGAAGATTCGGCGTCCGGGAAAGCAGGTGGTGGAGAGAGTCGAGGAAAAAGTGACGCAGGCAACTGTGTAATTCACCAGCACGACCTTGACGAGGGGAGTAAAAAGATACAAAGTTCATGGAACCAAATGTTCCACAGTATGCAACACTCTGGATTCGCATCATCACTGTAATAGGATTAGAGCACGTTGGAACTAAGGACAGATGCCGAAGAGGTTGTCAAACTCCAAGCTGTTACATCTAACTTCTGCTGGCTACGTAGTAGTTAAGCAGTTATCAACTACTAGTATTTTAAGTCATGGAACAGCTAAAAAGAGAGCATAATGGTTAGGAAGGATGTTACGTCGTAAGTACAATACCTTGGCTGCGTACGAGGGCGGTTGAGAGGAATAACCTTTGCAGGAAATCTTGATGGCACTGGACGGCGGGATTGTTGCCTTTCCCTCTACTAAGCCTAACAAAGGACGGCTGATTTCGGACTGCCTGGACCGACCTAAATGTACAAGTACATGAGCAACTCCTATTCTCTCGCTCAAATAACCTCTGGAAGTGAGCTCTATCTAACCTCGTCGTACTATTCCAAAAACGGCGAGTATGGCTATGCTAAGGTGATGCAGATCATTGAGTTCCATTCCACAGATCGTGTGGGGGAAGCGATTGGGGAGGCGGTTCCAATCTGTATCAGGGTGGAAGTGTGGAGATTTGTGAACTTGGTATCACGAGTTGCTCCGAGGGCGGAAAAGCTTGGAGATTGGATCTTGGATTTGATGGCAGCGGTTGACAGGGGAGGACGTGAGGTTGAAGTTCCGGGGGAAGAAGCATGTAAGTCTTGATGGTTCCGCAGCATTTGATATCTTACCATCTCTCATCTTATAATAAAGACAGATACACTTGGTACGGTCCAAACATGTCATCTCGAGCAAAGAATTTAAAGGATTCGAGGGCCACAGAACGCCTAGGTTTTAGAAAAGAAGTCCTTTAGACTTTGACTGCAGATTATAAGGGTAAGAAGTAATAGCAAGATTTGGTTATTTTATATCCTTTATAATTAAGTTACTTATTATATTTAGTCAGAACTATTTACTTTAACTATTGCGTTACGTTAATATGTAAGTTTGAAATTTAGCCAATTATTGCTTAGTAATCTTGACATGGCAACCAAGCGTCTATGTTAGTCCTTCAAAAGGTTAGGTTGTGACCAAAAAGGTAGGTTGTGGAAGCAAAGTATTCAACTAGTGAAAGTACTGCTATAAGCAGTAGAAAGGCAGGAAGTA